GGTTTTCCTCGCGTGTGTAAATATTAGTCGGTTTTCCTTGGAATGTTCTCCATGAAGCCATCCCTCCTCTTAGATAGATAGCTCTCAACTATTTTGCTATAGTCTAAAAAATCCAATCCATCCGTCAAGAAGGAAGAAAAACGTATGTTAGAGTCCTTGAAAGAATACTGTACCTAAAGTGTCTCAGATACTACTATCTTAATCGGCATCAGTAGCTGATCGTGATCAAATTGTGAGGCAAAAAAAATCTGCAATAGAAATTTCCCTCTCTGTAAGTAAAAGAATTTTTAGGTTTGATTATTAAAAGATAATTATAAACCAAATCTAGCTATGGGCTGTGGGCATCAAATAAATAGTACACCTGGAAATTCAATAGCTTTGGTCTCACTAACCGAAATTTTCTTCTCTGAATTCCTAATCATAGAAAGGGGTCTTGTGCTTTTTGTTTTGGCCTCTTTGTCTTGACTGAAGTTTCATTCAGATCCTTTTCTCGCTGCATTCAGTTAAAATACCGTTAAAAATGTGAAGGAAAATTATCTGTGGGAATTTTATATGCTGTAGAAATGCAAAATACTTAAATCATTGATCAAGATATTCCCATCGATCAATGATATTTTTACCACTATTACTGGTACTTATCAAAAATACTGAAATGCAACAAGGTTAAGAACCTGGTACTGGTAAAGTAAGTGCAAGGAAAACTGACCTCTTAAAAGTAAATGTGCACATTTTTAGGCGATAAATATTTATGCCTTTAAGAATAAAACTTAATGCACCCGATGATATTGTTCTCCACCTGCATGTCATTTTAGCCTATTTTTAATATTTTAACTATACTGTTTCTTAGATAATCAAATGTTAAAACAAATTTCATTTGATTTATAATCATATGGAGAGCTTAATTGGAAAATTGCTTTAGCTTAAATCTCTTTGACGTGCAGTTTTGTTTCAGTTTGGTGTTAACTCTTAAGTGGCATCTACGAAATTAATGAAGAAATATTAAAATAATTCCAGCAGAAAATGCTATATGTTCTGAAGTTAAAAATTCTTTATGTTAAGTAAAGCAGGCAAAATATAATAAGATACAATAACACGCCGAATAAATATTAATTTAGAAGTCGAACAACAAAAATATTACGCTGAATACTGTTGTTTGACTTCTAAATTAAGGCAAAATATATATTTGCAAACGAGATTGAAACAACATTTGTTTATACCACAGTGCAACTGTTTATTTTGGAAAAGCTGTTAACTTCTAACTTCTCCATTTGTCAGATTGTTTAAAATGTTTAAAACCAAACTGCCTATTTTAGTTACTAAGTGTCAAACATGCATTTTATACATTTTTATTAATATTCTTAATAATAACATAAATATTTATACATTAAATAGTGAAATCATATTCATCTTCAAATCTGAATACATTGTAATTATTATTTTAGACAAATGAACAATGATCAGTATGAGCAATGTCCACTAAATTTGATTTTCGTGTACTTTTATTTTATTTCAAAAATACAGTCTCCCCCACTTTTCACTCCCAAAACTGTGAAACTTATACTTTTACACTTTATTTGCTGTTTCATTCTACTTTAATAGTGCAGAAATTATTTTCTTAATTAAGTGGTATGAAGATGCTTGAAGAGTGAAAATAAAAACATTTAAATTATGTCTAGTTGTTGATAATCTTATTGTGAAGATCCTTCGCTTTGCATATAATCCCCATCAACTTCATGGTCTATGAAATAATCTATTAGTGATTACTCTTGAGGCACTCCTCAGCCATAAACTGATAAAATTACATTACTCGAAAACTAACGATGGTAGAATATGATGATTTGCCCTAAGGAGAAATTAAGTAATATTACATACTCCTTTCGGTTGAACAAGTTAAGCTTCTAAACAAGAACGTATTTCACTCCTCGCATGAAATTAAGTCCCAGGTTATGGACTGTAGTGATTTGATTTCACTCTGCAGGATATCATTCGGTGAAAGAATCAAATTAATACTGAGATTATTTTCATGCTTAATTAGATCACAGAATATGAACTGTGATAATTTGATTATATGAGCTGTAATACTATTGTCTTAGGCATTAAAAAAGATGATTAACTTTCCCTGAAGCACGGCATCTTCTAAAGGGCATATACTATATACCGAGTTTTATATGTTTAAACTCGCTTGCGAATATTAGGCTTAAAATTATTTAAAGATTTCATACTCAAATTTTTAAAGCAATGCTAAAACACGAAAATGAGTTTTTAAGTTGTCATTATTTAGGAAATTCCACTTATCTGCTGATGAGCCAAGCAGTTTACTTTCGGGAATCTATCATTTCCTGTAGTACCCAAAAAACAATAAATATAGTTCAGATTTAGAAGTAAAAAAACAAGCTAAAGATGCCAGAATCCCAAAATTTCTGTATTCTGTTGCTGAACATTTAATTTCACCCAACAGAATGGCCCAAAACACTGGCTATTTAAGTCTTTTGTGTTGTTTCGTAATCCAAGCGAATAAATCGATTTCGGAAAAGAAATCAATTGCTTGGTCCACATCCACATGGACAATGCGGTTTAGCTGTTGTGCGCTACCCAGCATCGTCGCCTTTGAGGTGTGACCACCAGGGAAACGAGACAGTGGACGTCAGTGACCTGTGTTATGAGAAAGAGCAATACTTCTCCCAGATGACCTGTTGAGATCGACGCCGAAGATTAAGCAGCGGCTTCCTTTCCTGCTCTTAGACAATAGAAAAGTCATTTGGTGACTATAATTTGCTAGCTCAGAGCATTGATCCCTGTCACAAGTTTAAGACAGTACCTTAATCTATATCCGAGAATCTACGCTATATGCGGTTTGAATTAATGAATGCGAATTTATATACTCTTTGGGAATAATGCAAGGAGTATATATGCAACTTTAATAAAAGAATTCAATAGAAAATAATTTTGAATTTTGTAAACAAGGCATGAAATCTTCTTTAAATTTAAAAATCTTGCAGAAAAACAAAACTTCTAAAAATGTTCTCTAAAATTTGGAAATTAATTTGCCTCAAATTTATTTATTTATTATTATATTGCAGTTCTCTAATAATAATGCAGGTTTGAGTGTAATCAAAAGTAGCTAACACATATTAAATGTCCTTTTGTAATACATTGAAAAAATATTGTTGCATAGTCAATGTGGTTATCAAAAAAGCTAAGCCGAAAAAAAAAGCATGTAGAAATATATTTGGTATGTTACATCCACATATAAATTTAGTAAATATGTATGCAAGTAACATAATTATATCAACATACTAATACTCTTATTATGCAAATACGATTTATGAAAAATAAATAAATGTAGTTTTTTTTTCTTTTGAGAAGGTGATATTACACTATAGTTTTTTTAAAAAATTATACATAAAACATTCGATTAATACACAAAATAACTTGATAATAGTAATGATAAATGTAATAAGCTGTAATGTCCTTGTCAGGCTGAGTTGTAGTTTTAATGGAATCATTTGTATGTTTATTAAAAGAAACTTCAGCGATGAAGTTTTAAAAATTTCTCTTGTTCTGGAAAATGAAGTAATTAAAATACGCAAAACTAAAACTCTGCTTTGAACAATGCTTATAATGAAATTCAAATTATTGCATTTGCGTTTTAAGAGCTTTAAACTTCCTTCTTCGTAACTTGATGAACTAATCTGACAACCAAATATTCTTAATATTCACAATGAATTCAATTACTTAATCAGGATTTCTCCCCGTTTGAAAACTCGTCAAGCATCTCTTAATTGCTTTCTGTTTTAAAGAGCGTATTCAGTTTTGTACAGATTTATTTCTGTCATTGATTTTCTTAAGCAAATTAAATTTTCTTCACGACAGCTTAAAATAATTTATTTTAGAGGAAAAAATAAACTGTTGAATTATTTAAATTATATACAATGATTATGACAAGTTAAAATCAGTTGTTATTAAATTTCTGAGGTAAAATCTGGTATATATTTTACGAAATTTTATTAAATGAAAGCAAATTTTCATAAATATTTTCCTGTCTTTATGTTTTGTACTTATAATATTTTATCGATAAAATGTTGTCCCAGTTAATCAATAACGTCAATCTTTGGATTATTGTTTCGGTTACGATAAAATATTTGTAGTTATATCTTATTATGGAAACGTTCCCGTAATTTTGTTACTTTATTCGATGCTTAATACTATTATGAATCAGTACTTCTGGAATACTAAGCGCTGTTATAAGCTGCAAATCTGTGTTATTTATAATTTGACATTAAATTTCTAATAAAATTAATAGGACCCAACTTCAAAGTGCAGATATGATAGTTTTAACATCATCCCGTTTTAGCAGGATGCTATACCAATTTCTTATCTTGCATGGCTTATTCATATTTCATGATGCAGCAGTTTTCAAGAATCATTATCTTTTCATTACATACTTCTTAAAATTAACTACTTACCTTAGTACACATTTGTATTTCAATGAGACATGAAGTTGTGTCTTGTTCAGTAGTTTTGTACTACATTAAGAAATATACCTACATGCTGAATGGGGATGATTTGAATGAAACAGCATTTTAATTTAATATATATATATATACTACAATAGATACTGCATTGAATATTTATCAATATATTTATCAATATATTTATCAATATATTTAATGCTGCTCTGTTATAAGTTGGTAAAATTTGAGTACAATTTTGAAAAAACATACTTTATGTGATTATTTAATTTTTAAACAAATGAACCGATTGACAAAATTTCCATATTATTCGAAGAGATCCGTTTTTCTTCTTTTCATACAAATATAACCGTCAAGAAACAGCAATAAATTCAATGAAACCCAATCAGAAGCCTGATATCCAATAGCAGCAGATATGCTGGCTGCTAAATCGTTTAAGTTAGCAAAGGTAAAAATCAAAATTTCAAAATGGGGTTGTGTTTGAAACTAACTTTACTTAAAAGAGCAATATTTTGTCTTCACAGGCCCTCCACGACTGCTACCTGAAGCTTATGATCTTGAAAGAGTTGTACCGGAAGGTACTATGGTACAACTTCCGTGTCCAGTTGAAGCTGATCCGGACACACTCTTCTTCGAATGGTATCGGGACCGTGAACCTCTAGATGCGTTTGCGGACGAAAGGTACAGAATTCAAGGAAATGGTGTCCTCAAAATCAAGTCAGTCGTACCAGAAGATACAGGACTGTATGTCTGTAGAGCTGTAAATGGATTTGGGAAGGCTGATGTTAATGTTACACTTATTGTACTAGGTAAGTTTTAAAGCACTTAATTAATATTTCAGACTGGAATTTGAATCAGTTTTAAACTTATATATATCATTTTAAAATATTTTATTAATTTCCTTTTGGTATGAATTTTATTATATTGGTAGCTTTAAATAAGCCTTCACAAAATAACACCGTGTTAAAATAAGGGTTTCATTCATAAAAGGGCCCACCAGCGGCCGAGCGGTAAAGTCGCTGAACACTGGTAGTTCGGTCCGATGTTCGAATCCCGCGAGCGGGTTGGCTGCATGGGTGTTTTCGTGGTTTTCCCCATGTGTAACGTGTATAAGAGCCAGTTTCCCTTAGAAAGTCCTCCACGAAGGCATCCCTCCCCTTAGGCAGATAGCCCTCGAGGCTTTGTCGTAATTAAATAACCTAACCTAATATAACATCATTCATAAAAGGAATAAAAAGGTATCAGTATCTTTCTAACACGTCTATGAAATATTCCAGCTTTCCTGAAATAAACCGAAAATAAAATGGTGGGGCCAAATACGCTTTTGATAACATAGTGATTGCTGGGGTTCACTTCTTCTTTAACCCTTCGACGGTTGTGAGATTAAGCCATTTTTCTCCCCGAATACGCGCGATATCTGTCAGTCGTAAATTTATATTGTAAGCTTGTTCGTTTGTGCCCACTGCGGTGCGTAATTGGAACGCGAGCTGAGCTCGTTCATGACTATCAAAGGGTTAAAGGAATGCATGTTTTTTTTTTATGGCGCTTTACTTTCTTCTTAAAGTTTAAGAATTTTTAAACTACGATATAATGTAAGGAGTTTTCTCCAGATTTAGGAATTACTAATAAAATCTTATAAAAATTAAACTCTATGATGAATACTCTTGCCTGTATATTTATATAGTGTAATATTAACATACACGAGTGCTTTATGCTGTCACGTTTACCCCATCAGTTGACATAAATTAATCTTGAGATTTCAGGCATAAAATGTAGTATCTAGTGGCATTTTCGAAAGCCTTACTATATAATTCTTGCGTTTGCTTATACTGGTATTAGAATTTACTCTAACAGCTAACTAAGCTAAACTGCAGACTATTATCTTAGAAATGAACGATTTTCAAAGTACCAGGCTCAGATGTGGCCAACCGATAAAACCGTTGAACACTGCTACACTGGTAATAAGACCTGGATTCAAATCCCGGCGAACTACCTGGCTGCATAGAAGTTTTCGCTGTCTTCCCTATCTGTAACGTTGCTACAAATAAGCTTCCCGTAAGACCTCCTCTCTCCCTTTTGACAGAGAGTGCTTGAGTGCTTTATAATAATTTAAATACTCTTGGCCCTCCTCTAAGGAGATAACCCTAGTATTCTTTGCCGTAATCCAAATAATTCAATGCATTCAGAGAATCGTGCCCACCAGCGGCCGAGCGGTAAAGTCGCTGAACACTGGTAGTTCGGTCCGAGGTTCGAATCCCGCGAACGGGCTGGCTGCATGGGCGTTTTCGTGGTTTTCCCCGTGTGTAACGTGTATACGAGCCAGTTTCCCTTAGAAAGTCCTCCACGAAAGGCATCCCTCCCCTTAGGCAGATAGCCCTCGAGGCTTTGCTATAATTACACAAACAAACAAACAAAACATTCAGAGAATCATTTTGCGAATTTTGTGTCAACTAATCCTGCGCTCAGCATACAGTCTGGTAAACAGATACAGTCAGTGGAAGACAACGATCTTATATATTATACAAAGGGATTCAAAAATATCTAGCAAAAGTACAAAGGCAGTGAACTAGAAAATGCAACTCAAGACTGGATACTCTGTCGGAGTATTTAATCTTGTATGGTGATTCGCTAGTGGCACTTGGTCGGGAGCTCTGGTGCTAGATCACTACCTTTATACTTTTTTTCAGATATTTGTGAATCACCCTATAAAATATGCAAAATCTTTGTCTTCTACTGACCGTTTTTGGTTGAGGGGATCGCGAGCAGATTCCAAAACGGAATGTGCGAATGGAAAAGACGTGGTCGTAGGATAGAGGACGCTGTTGAGATGGGTAAGCAGAGCTTATATTACGCTAGAATCCACCGGATCTCGGCTTCGATACTTCTCAATTTCTTATATAAATCTTAACTATAGCCGGAGCGCTCCAGACCTTTAAATAAGAGGACTCCGGCAGTTCTTTTATGTGACTGAACCAAAATTTCAGCAGAAAATTCTTTGGATTTCGAAAAATTTATTTAACAAAAAGTTTGCCTTAAAAACCATTTCTGGCTTCTGAATGCATCCCTGTCTTTCTCTGAGCAACAAGCACTTTGATGAAAGTTGAGATGACAAAAAGCCGCACCACATGTCTAAGGCCCATTCTCCAGTCATGGCCATCTCAAAGTCTTATTCTTCTATAATCGATTTATGAGAGCTGCAAAATTCGTTCTTTATCGGCAGGATCGTGGTCAGTATGTGTCGACTTTTTCTCCTTTTGTTTTCACACCCACACATCTTCTTTAAAATTTCCTGTGGCCTTTTTCCTTCGCCCAAGAATTCCTTCCGAATCACAGGGATCCCTTTACCTGGTCCCCCATCAACCTCCCTCTCCTGATTTTCTCTCCTTTCCAAAATTTCTTCTCCCAAATCATTTCAACCTGCTTCTTATCGAGTGGGTCCTCCCTCGTTAACACCCGCTTACTTCAGCAGCTTGTTCTACGTTTTTCTGTGGGTTAAGATGTTCCATCCTTGAAATTTTCTTACTTTTTTGCGTAAAATATTCTACGTAACAGTATAGCTTGAATAACAGTATTTTACATTGCATTATTACTGAACTCAATTAACATGCGCAATATTCTAAAATTAAGTTATTTGACATTACCTTCCTATTCAAAGCCTTTTATGACTTTCGAAATAAATTAGAATTATACGATGCTTGCTTATAAAACTAAAAAATACATTAAAAAAGAAAAGAAGCTAAAGAAATATTATGAATAGAAACTCATTCAAAAAATAATTTACTAATTGTAGATCTAAGTTACTAATGTGAAAATAGAGGTAATAATTGAGATATCAAAGAGATAAGGAGTGAAAACTTAGATAAACTCCCACATCCTCCCCCCATCTGGCACAAGGGGCTGAGATTAGGTAGATATTGCTAATTAACTTAGTAATTTATAAGAAATTTATTTTCTTATTTTAGATTTTACATATTAGATTTATTTCCTTATTTTAGATTTTACATACTCTCCTTCCCTTCCAGAAGGAAAAGGCTTGGCGAGAGAAAAGCCATTTTAGCAAAATATTAGAGCAATACAAAAAAATTTTATGCAATATGTACAGTTGATATGAGAAAGTAAATGAAAGGCTTCAGGGACATAGCCTTGATGTTTTCTTCTATTCATGATGTTCTTCCTGTTCAAGATGTATAAAATTCTTGAAAAGATATCTTGATGTCACTTCAAAAATTTTCACATTTTGCTGTAAAAGCTCACAGTCTTTTGTAGAAATTCAATGTTATAATCAATATAAAATTGTTTCTAAAACATAAATATGAAATTGAACATTTATTATGCACTTATTTATAATAGTTTTATACTTATTTATAATATTTATTTTTATTCTATTTATAATAGAACAAAAACAGAGTTTCATATTGTAGAGCTATGGAATAATTGATATACATAACAAACAAAATGCAATAATAATAAATTCTATCAAAAATGGGCAGGTCCTCTACAAAGCAAATCAGCGTAACAAATTGTGGTTGGCTGGGGGATGCTCAAAAACTGTTGCACGTAAAAGTCATCTCGAAAAAGATGACTAGCTTTTAGTATTGTATGACAAATCAAAGTTAAAGTTTCAGTTTACTCTTATGACCATAAAAATTCTTTTACATTATATACCTGACATTAAAAAAAACTAAATACACAAAATTTTAAATTCAAGGTAGACAAATAACTTGTATGCTCAAGTTATGTTAAAGAGAATGAATTAGCGTAACAACATAACTCTATAATATTAAAATTTATAATAATTAAAAAATGTGTGTATTGTGTGTGTTTGTGAAGTAAAGTAGCACTTTGTGCTGAAACTATAACCAGAAGAATGTAACTGATGGGAAAAAATATACCTACTCAGTCAGTTTTTCTAACCATCGTGACTCTCCTGAATAAAAAGAAAAAAAAAATAATGTAGGGATTAGGAGTATTCCTATGAGGACAGCGGGCGTGTGCTATCACTGCTTTTATCCTCTCTAAGGAGAGAATACAAGGTAGTGTTAGTGTTACACATGGAGTAAAATCTCGGGTCAGATTATCAGATAAAACTTTTCGTCTTAAGCATTCTCTGTATTCTCATTAGAGGCGCTTTAATTGCTTTACCTTTTTTTTATTGGGTATGCTGGAAAAATCATGGTCTTTGTTTCTATCAACCTTTGAAACATAACAACATTATCTTTTCATTCAAGGCCTAAATTTAGCTAATGCTCAGCTGAGCAACGTCTAAGTTCTTCTTATGTGACAGTAACTCCAGCCGCAGCCTCTAATAAAACGGGATCCGGTATTTTATTTTATTATTCAACTAATCATCATTAAATTTAATAATTAATTAAATTTTAATCTGTCGTTATATTTTTATTGAATTTTAATTTCAACTGCTAATTATTTTGCTCTTTTACGTATTCAGTGTTTTTAATTACTAATTATTTTATTTTAATTATCTAATATTTTAATTATTAATTATTTTAATTATAAATTCTTTTATTATTGTAATAGTTATTTTTTTCATTATTTTTGTTTAATTTTCTCCTTCTCTCCTGATTGGCCTTCCGTAAGGCCTCAGGCACTTCTAATTTTAGGAATTAAGCCCTGTAAGTGAAAATGGCATAAATCTTTATTCCCCATGTCTGATGAGTATTCGGTGGCCAGCCTATCGGCTGCTGCTAAAAATGTGAGTGAAATGCCTAGAGATATTTGCTAATGTACGCCAATCCGTAAGATGCCGCTGTGAATTCTGTATTACTGTTCAGAATCAAACTTCCCGGCACCT